CAGATTTATAGTTGATCACCTTGTTGGTCGAACTTGTTACATATCTCACTTGATGCTGCTGGTTTTGACAAGATTTTTATCATGCCTCTCACACTAAGAAAAAGAAAGAAAGAAAGAAATTGACCTATAAATTGTACAGAGTTGCCTTCAGCAATCAAAATAGATTGACAAGAAGGATTAATTAGTCCAAAAAAACAGTTTGATGGTGTTGGAGTTGAAGAAGATGTAAGGAATCAAGTCGCAGAAGGATGGCACTCTTTGCAGATTGATTTATTACAATTTTACAGCAAGTAGTGCCATCTCTCCTGCGACTAGAATCCTTAAACTTCTATATTTTTCTGGGTTAAAAAACTTGATTTAGCACATCTACTTATACTGCCAAATCATGGAAAATTTCCGCTATCATGGGGCTACCTCGTCTAGAAGACAAGGAAAAAACATGCTCAAATGAAAATGGTTTGAAGAGTCCAAGTTCATACTAGGTTTTCAATTTACCAATGAAAATTCTAGTTTAGCTGGAAAGTTTTTGACCGGAGACAACCATAATTTCCTAGCAATATCCATGAAATTATGAAGAATTATAATTATCGTATATATTCTTTGATTGTTATAAAAGTTTTGGGTCAAACGCAAAACAAATTCCCGGAACGAGCAGCTAGTATTTCCTTTGGAAGTTCCTAGGTCACAAATATCTATTTTGTATTACTCTGACAATTCTATTTTGTTGAGTTTTGATACTCAGTAAATTTGGGCAATGATTGAAAATAGATGTCGGATAATTTATTGACACCATGGCTTGGCTCGACCTGAAAATGACCAACACTTTTGGAAGGCCCAAGTTGTAGTGAGTTGAATTTATTGGTCTTGGCTTTGGTCATTAAGTTGTCCAATTGTTAGCCCATTTTAAAGGTAGTTTAAGTGGCAGCCCACTTAAAGTTTTTTTGGCCACTTTAGAGGTAACTTAATGATTCCATACATATTCACTTGGTTTCCCAGCCGTGTGCATGCGTGCTACAATGGAAGGGAGAGTGTGAGAAAGGGACAGCTGGGTTTGGGGGAAATTGAGAGAGAATTCTACCATTGTTGTTCATCATTTCTTGCCCATTGTAGTCACCACTATGTGTCCTTAGTGAGTACTAAACAGATAGCAACCGGAAAGAGTAAAGAGGGCAACCAAAAGTGAAGGAAGTTTGGGTCAAGCCTTGGTGGTTGTGGTGTTCGTTTGATTGGTTTTTTCTGAGCCCGGATCTAGATTTCTCGAAATTTCCGCTTCCATATTTCTACCATTTGAGTTGTCCTAGTCAGTCCACTTGCATCTGATTAAATAGTTAAATTGCTGAGAAAAACGATTATTGATAGTTGGTTTGAGATGATGATTAGTCACGTGAATCAGGATAATCATATGATCCAAGCTTCTACTTGATGCAGTGGATAATTTTCCATTCTAGAAGGAAAGTTTTTAGGTGGGTTTTGAGAACGTGAGATTGGGAAAGGCATTGTAGTACAAGTTGAAAGCAACATATAGATAAACAAAAATATTTCTCAATCTTTACCAATTTAGTCTTGACTGAAAAAATGAATTAATAGTACCAAAAAATAATTAAATTCTAAGTTCAAAAGCTACTAATCTTTTGTAAAAATAATTCTCATAGTACTCTGGAGGTGTCAAGATGGACGGGTCGGCCAGACCCGTGAAAATTGGCTCAGATTGATCCTGGACTGCTGGCCGACTCGTGACCCGAGCAGACAGTTCACGGGTCAAGGAGGTGTGATCCGCGAGCTTTGCGGGTTGCACCTTCATGGGCCGCGATTAACCCGCTAGGCTGCAAAAATTTAAAAAAAAAAAAAATTTGAAAAAAATGGAGAGAGAGAGCCGTTGTACTTATGTTATAAATATTTGATAATAGTAATTAGAAATGCATTTAGTTGTTATTTGTTTAAGTTAAATTTAACTTTGTAAAGTTATAAATAATTCATGTAACATTAAATTTGAATTCTATGTAAACATTTCTTGGTATAAAAACATAATTATTCAACAACATTTTGAGAGTTAAAGAGCTTAGATTGCAATAGACGGCATTGACATCTTGATATTGTAAATAAAATTACTATTTTTCAAAAAAAAAATAAAAATAAAATTACTATTGATTATAATAATCTTTTCTCCTATGCCCGTGTTTTTCCCATATTGGGTTTACATGTAAATCTTGATGTTTATTTTTTTCTTATTTATTTCATTATCGTCATTATCTTGCGATCCAGCATTTATACCAAGTGGTATCAAAACGAGGTTGATTGTTCCGCATGAAGACAATGAAGTATGATATTCCGTTGTTGGATAGAAACACGAGATTTACCTTATGACAAGTGAAGATACGAGCAGCTCTAGTGCAGATAGATTTGGAGGAAGCCTTGTTTGGCTTTTATAGGATGACTGCTACCTGAACGCATGATGAAAAGCAGCATAGGGATCGGAAAGCCTAATCACAAATTCATGCACATCTTTCAAATCAAAATTTTCAAGATGTTCTAAAGAAGAGAAGTGTTACTGCATTATGATTGAAGTTGGAGCAACTTTGCATGATAAAGAGCTTGACCAAAAAGCTACACTTGAAACAGTGCTTGTATTCTCACCGAATATCTGAAGGTGCTTGGATGATCACTTAACTATGTCCAAAGAAATCGTGGTTGATTTGGAGAGATTGAAAGTTAAGTATGACGAGGAAGACTTGACGTTGATGTTGTTGTGTTCTCCGCCGCCATTATATGTGACTTTTAGAAATACTATTCTCTATAGTTGGGATAGTCACACCGTGGAAGAGGCCTATGATTCTTTACTTTCTAAGGAGAAGATGAGACATCTTGCTAGACATGCTAAAGGCTTGATTGTACATAGGAGAAATCAAGATAGAAATCTTTGCAGAAATATGAGGGACATCGAAATCTAGACATGTTGAAAAGACGTGTCACTATTGTAAGAAGAAGGGCATATTAGAGCTGATTACTGTACCTTGAAAATAGAAATAAAGCTGTTGGTGCTACTGAGAAATGGAAGCAACCTGCTAACACAGCGGAAGCTGATATTGTGGAAGATGGGCAAAGTGAAGAAGAGCTTTTTGTGATTTCTGAGATGGATTCCAAACATTGTGAGGAATGAGTTCTAGACTAGGCTTGTACTTTTCATATGTGTCCCAATTCCCAATAGGGATTGTTTTTCAATATATGAAAGAGTTTCGAGAGGTGCCGTGATTATGGAAAACAACGCACCTTGCAAAATTGTCGAAATTGCTACAGTCAAAATTAGAATGTTCGATGGGTCGATCAGGATACTTAGGCCCTGTTTGATAAAGGGACCTTTTCCATGGAAGTGGGAAAAAGGATTCCATTTTCCAACTTTGAAGCCGTTTGTAGATAATACTTTGCCCAGAATTCATTTTCCACTTACCAACCTCATGCGCCAACTTTCTTGCATTTTTAAGGAATTTGTTTTATATGGTTTTTGGTGGGAATCTGATTTTCCATCTTTTTTTTTATTTACAAGTGGAACAAATTCTAAATCCAATAGTGAAAAAATCTATTCATTTAATTGACAATTTAAAAATGGTTTCCATTTTTTTTTTTTTTTATAGCAATGGCAACAAATTCCAATCCCAAAGGTAAAAAAATCTATTCATTTAATTGACAATTTGTATGAAAAATAAAACCAAACGAACACAAAAAAATTTCGATTTTTTTCTTTTTTTAACCTTTTGGCAATCCAAACAAATTTTAATATAGATTATAAAAAATATTTATCCCAAAAAATAACATTTTGCATGAAAAACAAAGTCAAACGGATTAGATGGAAAATTATGTCAATCAAACAACAATTAATTACAATTCCAGTAAAACAATTTCTAGGCAATTCAATTTCCTGGAATTCATTTTTTTTCACCCATTTTCCACATTTGCAATCAAACGGACACTTACAGATGTAAGACGTGTTCCAAAATTGAAGTGGAATCTTATATTTTTTAGTGCACTTGACTCAAAGAGTTATAGATACACTGGTGAATGTGGAGTTTTGAAGGTGAGCTTGGATGCTCTTGTTGTCTTGAAGGAACATAAAATCTTTACACAGTTGTACATTTTGCATAGTTCCACAGTAATTGAGATGCAACAGTTTCTATTTCTTCTTTAACAGATGATGAAGTTACAAAACTTTAGCATATGCGGCTCGGACATATGAGTGAGAATGACATGGCAGAGTTAAGTAGAAGGGGACTTCTTGATGGGTAGAAGACTAGCAAAATAATTTTTTGTGAGCATTGTGTTTTTGGGAAAAAGAAAATAGTCAGATTCATGAAAAAAGACAAAGAGCACTTGAATATATCCATTCAGATCTTTGGGGATCAGCTAGGGTACCATCAAAAGGAGGCCATTATTACTAGTTGACAATGATTGATGATTTCTCCAGAAAAAATTGGGTACTCTTCTTGAAGTAGAAGAGTGATGCGTTTAGGACCTTTAAGGAGTGGAAAACATTAGTAGAAAAGCGGATTGGAAAGCAGGTGAAACATTTACGCACAGATAATGGTTTGAAATTTTGTTTAGATGAATTCAATAGCTTTTCCAGGGCTGAAGGCATTTGAGACACTTGAGAGTGCCTGGAACTCCTCAATAGAATGGTGTGGTAGAACGAATGAATAGAATTTTGATGGAAAATGTTCATTGTATGCTTTCAAATTATGGGTTGCCTAATATTTTTTGGGCTAAAACTGTTACTACACCTTGTTTTCTGATTAATCGCTCGTCCAAAGTTGTCATTGATAAAAAGATACCAGAAGAGGTATGATCCGATAAACTTTCTTACTATTCTGATTTATGCACGTGTGGATAATGAGAAGTTAGAGATTAGGTCAAGAAAGTGCATCTTTCTTGGATATAAATCAGGTGTGAAGGGGTATAAATTGTGGCGTCATGAGACAAGAAAATTGGTTGTTATAGAGATATAACATTTGATGAACTTGTTATGGTTCGTGGTTCACCTTTTGGGGATTTTGATAAAACTAAGGAGTAGAATCATTCAAACTCATGTGGAGTTGGAAATTGGTTCAGATGAACAATCAGAGATTGCTGAACAGTCTATTATAGATCAGTCCAGTTCGGAGTTGACAGACAGTAATATCTTGCCTACTTTTCCTACACCACCAATACCACGGTATTCTATAGCTAAGGATAGACCTTTCAGACAAATTAGACCTCCACAAAAGTATGGTGAAGCAGATTTGGTAGCTTATGCATTGAGTGTGGCTGAAGATATTGATTCCACTAACGAGCCTGCTATATATTCAGAGGCAATCATTTGCAGTAATTCTTACAGATGGATGATTGCTATGCAGAAGGAAATGGAGTCATTGAACAAAAATAACACTTGAGAATTGGTGAAATTACCTAGAGGTAAAAAGATTGTTCGCTACAATTGGGTGTTCAAAAGAAAGGAAGGTATATCAGGGATTGAAGATGCTAGATGCAAGGCTAGATTGGTGTCTAAGGGCTACAGTCAGATTTCAAGTGTTGACTTTATGATGTGTTCTCAGCAGTTGTGAAGATAGTTCCATCCGAACTTTACTTGGAGTGGTGGCTAAGAATGACTTAGAGTTTGAACAGGTGGATGTTAAGACACATTCTTACATGGAGAACTTGAGGGGAGCATCTATATACACTACTTACAACAACTAGATGTGTTCATAGTCTCTGGAAAAAAAGACTGTGTGATTACTGAAGAATTCCTTGTATGGACTAAAGTAGTCACCGAGACAGTGGTATAAGAGGTTTGATTCATTTATGACTGCTCATGATTTCTTCAGATGTAATTACGATAGTTGTGTGTACTTCAAAAAAGAAGATAATTGATCGACTACATATTTGTTATTAAATGTTGATGATATGCTCATAGCAGCCAAAGATAAAGTAGATGTCAGAAAAGTGAAGTTTCAACTCAGTAAGGCTCATTTGATATGAAGGATTTAGATGCAGTAAAGAAGATTCTTGGTATGGAAATCATCAGGGATAAAAAGGCTGGCAAATTGTATTTGAATCAGAAGGGGTACATTGAGAAGGTTCTTGAAAGATACAATATGGTGAATGTGAAGGCTGTCGTACTCCCTTGACTGCCCACTTTAAATTATCATCTAACTTGTGTCCTTAGTTAGATGAAGACATTGATTAAATGTCTAAGGTTCCTTATTCCAGTGTAGTTGATTCGCTGATGTATATTACGGTTTGTACAAGAACTGATTTGGCATATGCAGTTAGCAGATACATGGCAAATCCTGGCAAGGAACATTGGAAAGCGGTGCAGTGAATTTTCAGATACTTGAGGGGCTCTTCTAATGCGTGTTTACATTTTCGTAGAAATTCAAATGGAGTCATTGGGTATGTAGATTCAGATTATGCATGGGATCTTGATAAGAGGAGATCACTTACATGGTATGTGTTTACTCTCGGAGGCTGTGCTATCAGCTGGAAAGCTACTTTGCAAACTACAGCAATTTTGTATACAACAGAAGCAAAATACATGGCCATTATAGAGGCATGTAAGAAGACTATATGGTTGAGATGATTGATTGGTGAAATTAGTGAAGATTTGCAGGTGTCTATAATATTCTGTGATAGTCAGAGTGCAATTTTCTTAATTAAAGATCTTATGTTTCATGAGAGGACTAAGCACATTGATGTGAGGTATCATTTTGTGCGTGATGTGATTGCTTATGGTGATATTGTAGTGAACAAGGTTGATACCAAAGATAATCCTATTGATATGATAACAAAATCACTTCTTATTGCTAAGTTTGAGCATTGCTTGAATTTAGTGAGTGTTTGTAATTAATTCAGTCCATTGGGGCTTATTTGGAAGAGGATGAATGGTATTTACATGGAGATGTGTCTTGAATTTCTTGTGATGAAATTTGTTTCAAGGTAGAGATTTGTTGTGGTGTGATCTAAATTCCATGTTATTTGAGTTTGGTAGAATAAAAGAAGTCTAAGGAGTTTGGGTTTTTAAGAGTCTAAATTAATGAAGATCAAATTTCATCAAAGATTGAGAGTTGGCTTGGAAAATGACTTCTTCAAAAATGGTTTCCATTTTTTTTTTTTTTTATAGCAATGGCAACAAATTCCAATCCCAAAGGTAAAAAAATCTATTCATTTAATTGACAATTTGTATAAAAATAAAGCTAAATGAATACAAAAAAATTTCAATTTTTTTTTTTTTTACTTTTTGGCAATCCAAATAAATTTTAATATAGATTATAAAAAATATTTATCTCAGAAAGTAACATTTTGCAAGAAAAATAAAGTCAAATGGATTGATGAAAAATTATATCAATCAAAAACAATTAATTACAATTCTCAGTAAAACAATTTCTAGGCAATTCAATTTCCTGGAATTCATTGTCTTTCCACCTATTTTCCACATTTGCAATCAAATGGACCCTTATAGATGTAAGGTATGTTCCAGAACTGAAGTGAAATCTCATATCTTTGAGTGCACTTGACTCAAAGAGTTATAGATACACTAGTGAAGGTGAGCCAGGGTGCTCTTGTTGTCTTGAACGAACATAAATTCTCTACACAGTTGTACATTTTGCAGTGTTCCACAGTAATTGGGATGCAACAGTTTCTGCTTCTTCTTTAATAGATGATGAAGTTACAAAACTTTAGCATCTACGGCTCAGACATATGAGTAAGAATGACATGGCTGAGTTAAGTAGAAGGACACTTTTTGATGGGTAGAAGACTAGCAAAATAATTTTTTGTGAGTATTGTGTCTTTCGGAAAAAGAAAAGAGTCAGATTTACCAAAAAAGACACAGAACACTTGAATATATTCATTCTGATCTTTGGGGACTGGCCAGGGTACCATCAAAAGGAGGCCATTATTACTAGTTGACAATGATTGATGATTTCTTCAGAAAAATTTGGGTACTCTTCTTGAAGCAGAAGAGTGATGTGTTTAGGACTTTTAAGGAGTGGAAAACATTAGTAGAAAAGCAGACTGGAAAGCAGGTGAAACATTTACGCACAGATAATGGTTTGAAATTTTGTTCAGATGAATTCAATAGCTTCTGCAGGGCTAAAGGCATTTGAGACACTTGAGAGTGCCTGGAACTCCTCAACTAAATGGTGTGACAGAACGAATGAATAGAACTTTGATGGAAAATGTTCGTTGTGTGCTTTCAAATTCTGGGTTGCTTAATATTTTTTGGGCTAAAACTGCTACTACACCTTATTTTCTGATTAATCGCTCGTCCAAAGTTGTCATTGATAAAAAGATACCAGAAGATGTATGATCCGATAAACTTTCTTACTATTCTGATTTATGCACATGTGGATAATGAGAAGTTAGAGCTTAGGTCAAGAAAGTGCATCTTTCTTGAGAATAAATCAGGTGTGAAGGGGTATAAATTGTGGTGTCATGAGACAAGAAAATTGGTTGTTAGTAGAGATATAGCATTTGATGAACTTGTTATGGTTCGTGGTTCACCTTTTGGGGATTCTGATAAAACTAAGGAGTAGAATCATTTAAACTCATATGGAGTTGGAAATTGGTTCAAATGAACAATTAGAGATTGCTGAACAGTCTACTATAGATCAGTCTAGTTCGAAGTTGACAGACAGTAATATCTTGCCTACTTTTCCTACACCACCAATACCACAGTATTCTATAGCTAAGATAGACCTTCCAGACAGATTAGACCTCCACAGAAGTATGATGAAGCAGATTTGGTAGCTTACGCATTAAGTGTGGCTAGAGATATTGATTCCACTAACGAGCCTGCTACATATTTAGAGGCAATCATTTGTAGTAATTCTTGCAGATAGATGATTGCTATGCAAAAAGAAATGGAGTTATTGAACAAAAATAACACTTGGGAATTGGTGAAATTACATAGAGTTAAAAAGATTGTTCACTAAAATTGGGTGTTCAAAAGAAATGAAGGCACATCAGGGATTAAAGATGCTAGATGCAAGGCTAGATTGGTGGCAAATGGCTACAGTCAGATTCCAAGTGTTGACTTTATGATGTGTTCTCACCAGTTGTGAAGATAGTTCCATCCGAACTTTACTTGGAGTGGTGGCTAAGAATGACTTAGAGTTTGAACAGATGGATGTCAAGACGCATTCTTACATGGAGAACTTGAGGATAGCATCTATATACACTATATACAACAACTAGATGGGTTCATAGTCTATGGAAAAAAAGACTGTGTGATTACTGAAGTCACCGAGACAGTGGTATAAGAGGTTTGATTCATTCATGACTACTCATGATTTCTTCAGATGTAATTATGATAGTTGTGTATACTTCAAAAAAGAAGATAGTTGATCGACTACATATTTGTTATTATATGTTGATGATATGCTCATAGCAGTCAAAGATGAAGCAGATGTCAGAAAAGTGAAGTGTCAACTCAGTAAGGCATTTGATATGAAGGATTTGGATGCAGCAAAGAAGATTCTTGGTATGGAAATCTTTAGGGATAAAAAGGCTGGCAGATTGTATTTGAATCAGAAGGGGTACATTGAGAAGGTACTTGAAAGATACAATATGGTGAACGCGAAGGCTGTCGTACTCCCTTGACTGCCCACTTTAAATTATCATCTAACTTGTGTCCTTAGTTAGATGAAGACATTGATTAAATATCTTGGGTTCCTTATTCCAGTGTAGTTGATTCGCTGATGTATATTATGGTTTGTACAAGAACTGATTTGGCATATGCAGTTAGCAGATACATGGCAAATCCTGGTAAGGAACATTGGAAAGTGGTGCAATGAATTTTCAGATACTTGAGGGGCTCTTTTAATGCTTGTTTACATTTTGGTAGAAATTCAGATGAAGTCATTGGGTCTGTGGATTCAGATTATGTAGGGGATCTTGATAAGAGGAGATCACTTACATGGTATGTGTTTACTCTTGGAGGCTGTGCTATCAGCTGGAAAACTACTTTACAAAATACAGTAACTTTGTCTAAACAGAAGCAGAATACATGGCCATTATAGAGGCATGTAATGAGACCATATGGTTGAGATGATTGATTGGTAAAATCAGTGAAGATTTGCAGGTGTCTATAATATTCTGTGATAGTCAGAGTGCAGTTTTCTTAACTAAAGATCATATGTTTCATGAGAGGACTAAGCACATTGATGTGAGATATCATTTTGTGCGTGATGTGATTGCTTATGGTGATATTGTAGTGAACAAGGTTGATACCAAAGATAATTCTACTGATATGATAACAAAATCACTTCTTATTGCAAGTTTGAGCATTGCTTGAATTTAGTGAGTGTTTGTCATTAATTCAGTTCATTGGGGCTTATTTGGAAGAGGATAAATGATATTTACTTGGAGACGTGTCTTGAATTCCTTGTGATGG